GTTTTCAAGTTGCAGGTTTCACTCATAATTAAAATCAACACATTGATGACTCTTCCAGGTACACAGATATATCAGTAGACCATCAGAAATGAGAATGTGCAATCTAAAGTGCAACTTTATTTGTAGCTATGATAGATATTGCCAAAATATCTTCTAGAGGATGCGCAAGTTTGCACTTCCAAAAAGCAAGTTCAACAATTTAACTAGTTGCTGTCAAGTCAGAACCTACTGAGAGCTATTCCTCCAGAGGGTTTTCTGAAGCTTTAAATCACACAGAAGCCTGCCCATCTTTCTCCTGTGGAGTCGCTTATGGATTCAAACCACTAGAGAGCTGCTGTCTTTGGGTTGGCAGTGTAACTCCCTATAGATTATGTCACCAGAGATCTCTAAAACAGCAAGGCAGAAAAGCCCAAACCAAGTCCACTGCCATCAAGTAGACTCTGACTCATGCCAACCCTCCACTGGGATTCTACGATCATAAATCTTAAGACAAGAGACTGCTTCTTCATCTTTGTCCTGTGGCACAGCCAGCAGATTCAGTTAGGAGCCGAAGAGGAGAAGAGTACATACGAGATACACTTATCTCACTCACAGAGATGATTAAAAACATTTGCAATTTGGACGATATACAGACAGAGAATGGTAGCATGCTATGCCTTTAATTTCCATTTCTTTTATTACAATAAAGATGAGAAAAAATATAAAATATCTGTTGATATCCCTCACCCACTTTTCTTTTGAGTCATCTATAGTTTTTATGGATATTTTATACATTTAGGAAATTAGTCCTTTATCTGTAATTTTGCAAATTATGGTCCCAATATATGTCTACTCTTTCATTTCACTCAGGTGTATTTTTCCCTGCACAATCACTTGGCATGACAGATTTTTTTTCCTTCTCTATAGAGAGATGCCATAGTTGGAAAAGTTAATCTTTTTTTTAAAAAAATAGCCATTATTTATAATGAGTACATAAAAGCAGTTTCAACTCAAAACCACCAACAGCTAACATATATTTTCTATAAGCTAACATATATTTTCTATTATTATCTAAGTATTGGGAAGAGGTGCTGGATTACAAATCTTGCCAAGGAAACTCTAAACTAGCTTCCATTTTCCTCAAGGCATTTATAATTTAGAGAAAGAGAAAAAACCAGCCACATGCTATGTGCCAATATTGTGACATGTGAAATTTGTGCCCAGTGTCCTGAGGCAAGAGAAAGCATTGTGAGCTAAAAGGCAAATGACCTGGTAAAGCATTCATGTGAGACAAAGTTTGCAGGCATGGTAGATCCAGATGAGGGCAGTCAGTGGAAAAAAAGGGCTTCATTGGGAAAGAAGGACTAGCCGATACAGTCTCTAACTAACCAATGTGAATGGAGGTACATGGAAAATGAATGTAATAATTAATCAGCTTCACTGTAGCAGACTTGATGACAGATTATAGGAGGTTGTAAGAGTTAAAGAGAGAAGTTAAGGCTAAAGTCTTGATGCTGGTATTTACGAAGACTAATGTCAGTGGCTTTTTTTTTTTAAATAAAAGGATAGTAGACCACCACATGTACTTAATGGTTCTACATCTGATGATGATGTTGTTATGTGACATCGAGTCACTTGTGACTCATAACGACCCTATGTTCAACAGCCCTAAACTCTGCTCTGTCCTGTGCCAATCGCACTGTCTCCGACACTCCCATCCCAATTATCCCAGTCACT